TGTCTCCATGTATACAAGACTTGGGGAGTCGGGTTTTTTGGTATCTGTTTGTACAAGTCTTGTGGGAGTCGCCTCTGTGTCTCTGGGTATACAAGATGGGGGAGTCGCCTCTGTGTCTCTGGGTATACAAGATGGGGGAGTCGCCTCTGTGTCTCTGGGTATACAAGATGGGGGAGTCGGTTCTGTGTCTCTGGGTATACCAGATGGGGGAGTCGCTTCTGTGTCTCTGGGTATAGAAGATGGGGGAGTCGGTCCTGTGTCTCTGGGTATACAAGATGGGGGAGTCGCCTCTGTGTCTCTGGGAATACAAGATGGGGGAGTCGGTTCTGTGTCTCTGGGTATACCAGATGGGGGAGTCGGTTCTGTGTCTCTGGGTATACAAGATGTGGGAGTCGGTCCTGTGTCTCTGGGTATACAAGATGTGGGAGTCGCTTCTGTGTCTCTGGGTATACAAGATGTGGGAGTCACCTCTGTGTCTCTGGGTATACAAGATGGGGGAGTCGCCTCTGGGTATACAAGATGGGGGAGTCAGTTCTGTGTCTCTGTGTATACCAGATGGGGGAGTCGGTCCTGTGTCTCTGGGTATACAAGATGGGGGAGTCGGTTCTGTGCTTCTTATGCAAGCTTAGATCAGTGATTCTCAACTTTGTTTTTGCCCCACTCTCCATCTGAGCACATAAAAAAGTTTGATGCCTCCTCTGTTCTGTCTATTGTTCCTCCGCTCCCTTTTGAAATGTAAAAACATTTCCGACCTTAGCCTTAAATACCCCCCCCCCACTACCCATCGCCATGAAGCACTCCGCGTGAAGCCGAAACTGGACCCCTTCCCCCCCCCCCCCCCCTTTTTTTTTTCTCCTTATTTATTCTTTCACCGTCACAGAGACTATTTTATATCCTTCTTTAATCTACAAATTGCGTCCCTTTGTGGAGCACGCCTAAAGTTAGCGAACAGTGTGTTACGTTAATTTGACTTCCTTTGATTGTAGTCACGACAAACTTTGGTTCGTACATTTGGTAATATTTCCGAGAGCCTGAATTGGTCGTAAATTTGTTAAGACTTCCAATGTAAAAGTGGCCAGGGGTTGACGTGAACAGTTCAAATGTTTCTTAACAACTTTCTCCAATGAAGAAATGCTCAATCGATAAACCAGTTGTTTAAAATACACTGACTCCTAAAAAATCTCACCAATGCTCCCCCACACCCCTTGTGATATTCTTCCACACCCCTTGTGATATTGTGATATTCTTCCACACCCCTTGTGATATTCTTCCACACCCCTTGTGATATTGTGATATTCTTCCACTCCCCTTGTGATATTCTTCCACACCCCTTGTGATATTCTTCCACACCCCTTGTGATATTCTTCCACACCCCTTGTGATATTCTTCCACACCCCTTGTGATATTCTTCCACACCCTTTGGGATATTCCCCACACCCCTTGTGATATTACCCACACCCCTTGTGATATTACCCACACCCCTTGTGATATTACCCACACCTCTTGTGATATTACCCACACCCTTTGTGATATTCTTCCACACCCCTTATGATATTCTCCACACCCCTTGTGATATTCTTCCACACCCCTTGTGATATTCCACACACCCCTTGTAATATTCCCCACACCCCTTGTGATATTACCCACACCCCTGGCACAGGTCCTAGACACTAGTCATGTTTTAATTTGACTGCTAATGACCTGGCGTTAAACCAGACATTTAGACCGCTAACACAAGGGACACACGAGTCCAGACACGTCTACACAAATACCTGGTACCTTTCATGGCGGTATTGATTTTTTATTTCACAGCTCTATTTATTTATTTGCCATTCAATTATAGTGATTTTACCAGCACATCCATTGTCGAGATTCTCCATTCCGGTCAGGGGCAGATAAACCGAAATTAAAATGTCAAGACTGGCGCAATGCTCTCTTATCTTCTATTTTGCTTATCGTGTTGGTTAGTGTTAAGGTGTTAATAGTGTCCACTCCAGTGGTGATCAACGTTTACCCAATAACTGAACCATGTGTTAGCTTTAAAACAAAGATAAAGACGGTGGTCCATTCTCTGTCCCCAAAGGCGATATTTATGTTTTAGTGGAAAAAAATAATCTTCATTTGTTTGTTGCATAGCCATGTGATATTGATATACTATATGAAGCCGGGGCACAGATTTGTGTACGCATGAAATTAAGTACACTAAATGGTTGTACACAGAAGTTACCCGAATGACGTGATTGCACTTAAAATATAGTTGGCATAATAAATTGGTGATAAGGATGTGGACTGGGATCCCAAACCCTCGATACTGCTACTCGCTCTAGCTGTCTAGTGTAAGCCGTACTATAAAAAAAGCTTTCGAACAAACAGTACACGCCAACACACTGAACAAATGTACACATTTCTTGAACAACTGATTCATTTAATAACCCAATTCAGTGGCGTAGCTAGGGTCGGTGTCACCCGGTCTGGTAAACTCATGCGGTGTCACCCCCCCCCTCCTTCACGATTTTCACGATGGATTTCTTCTTGTTAAAATAAGTCCACCGTACAACTATGACAAAAACAAATTAATTGATGGTTAGGAGCTAAATGCGTTTAAGGACTGTAACATGTACTTAGAATCGCCCATTGGTATCAATGGACAGCTTTATTTCTCAGAAATGTAGATAACTCTAGCTTCCTGTCACTGACGAAAGTTACCGGACACGTCAATGGGCGTTGAATCGTGGTCAACAACGGTGTTTTTATAACCTAATAATAAGGAAACTCTAGTGTTTACGCATCAACCTTGAACTTTTAATAAAGCACGCATTTAGGTTGGTTACATGGCTGGGATATTTACGTGTGATCGGTTATCCTTTTATGAAATTCGGTTAGACCGAGCCGTGTATGCTCTGTAAATATGCAATTTTTCAATTTAATGCCCCCCCCCCCCAAGACCGTGTCACCCGGTGCGGTCCGCACCCCCTTAGCCACGCCACTGGTCCAATGTACCGCTCACACGTAGTGACATGTAACCACAACTAACGCTATTTGGAACTATCATATCGTTCTTTACGCCTAGGACGCCAGGACAAAAAAAACAACAATAAAAAAAAATCAAGCCTCTATGATCACTAGTTCACCATAAAACTCGACAGTTCACTACCGGAACTATGCTCATCTAACAGACAGTGATTCTCAAGCCTCGACAATTGATTCCACAGACAAGTTACTCAAATGGAAATACTTGGGCTTGCGTGGGACCAGGACCGCACACTTGAGTCATTCTGACCTATTTTTCTTAGAACTTTCAATGACAGTTCATGAGGTTCTATATTGATGTTGTCATTACATTTGTATTAGATGTCTGTGTCTGCTATGATGGCGAGGAGATCCGTTTGTCCCCACTAAGTACACTGAGAATGTAAATAGTTGGATCAACCTTGATAAATCATTTCCCCCTCTCGGCTTTAATGTTTCGAAACAACTTTTCCCAATGTAGAAATCCTAAATCGAATACCCGCTGTTTTCAACACACTGACTCCTCCAACAACATCACCTATGACCATGCTCCTCCAACAACATCACCTATGACCATGCTCCTCCACACCCCTTGTGATATTATTTTTACATTCCTTATAATATTCTTTCACACCCCTTGTGATCTTCTTTCACACCCCTTGTGATCTTCTTTCACACCCCTTGTGATCTTCTTTCACAACCCTTGTGATCTTCTTTCATACCCCTTTTGATATTCTTTCACACCCCTTGTGATCTTCTTCCACACCCCTTGTGATCTTCTTCCACACCCCTTGTGATCTTCTTTCACACCCCTTGTGATCTTCTTTCATACCCCTTTTGATATTCTTTCACACCCAATGAGATATTCTTTTACACCCCTTGTAATATTCTTTCACACCTCTTTTGATAATCATCCACACCCCTTGTGATATGTCTCCTTATTTCCTGTAAAGTTGTAAAATATCTCCCCTCTTACTGTGCAGTAATAGAACGTGTCGAGCCACCCCCCCCCCTTTTTTTTTATACGATAGTTATGTAACACCACCCTTCTCACTACACAATTCCCAGAAAATATTTCTTTTTTAGAAAGCCTTTATTTAACTTCCTCCATTAAGTCTGTATATTATAGTTTTCATTGGTCATTTTTTTTATAAAACTTCCACTTAAGATCTAAATTTAGATACACAGATTACTCTGATTACTATTGCTAGAGATTTTTCATTGTAATTTTAACTCATCATGACCTAGAAATTTATTTAATTTTTTATTTTTTTAAATTTTAAAATAATGTAGGAAGGTAATGTGCAGTTTCCAGACTAATGGAGAGAAACTTAGCCTTTCTAAAACTATGTTGATGTCGATGCTTAAACTAAACGACTAAACCCAAAGTACAAAACATGATTTAAAAAAACAACAACATTGTTTAAGTTTAAGTATTGATTAAAATTGTAATATTAGCAACCTTTTTAAAAAAAATTCACTCACCATCCATTTTAGTAGGTTTGTTAAACAATTTTTTCTTCTTCTATTTTCCAGATGTGGAACTTGGACAGCTCAGACATCATGTATTATGTTCTTTTTGTAGTGGCCAGTGCAGCATTGCTTGTCTACTCTGCCATGATTTTCTTTATCACTGTCTCTGTCATTACCAGGTTAGAGTGACTTGCCCTTTGCTGCCCTTGCATTTTCTCAACCTCTAGCAATCTTTCCTTAACTCAAGTCTGTATGCTATTTTTTTTTTCTTCTTCCTCTTTACTATTTTTGATTCATTTTGCAGTGCTTGCCTTTAAAATCCATGCAGAAATATGTGCCATCATCCTATGCATGTCTGCATTGTGTACCTATTAAATTAATTAAAACTTTCTGCCTTATAGCTTAGGATAATTGCACATGAAAATTTGAGTGAATCCATATTCTTTAACCACCAAGTTAAGTCAGTAATTTCTTTAACCAGCAAGCTGTACCTACACAAGCCGACTGGTGCTGCTGAGATGGGAGATGATGTGCCTGGTGTTTCAATCATCAAGCCGCTAATGGGAGTTGACCCTCTTTTAGAATACAATTTAGAATCCCATTTTAAGTTGACATACCCGAAGGTAATATTATTGTGCATAGAAAATGTTTTATTTGACGATTCTTATAAAAAAAATATATTTTTTAAGACCTAATTTGTTTTCATCCAACAAGATCTATATAAGAAGAAGCCAACGTAGATTCATTACGCTCGGAATCTTTAATAAAAAAGGAAAGTGAATGGAATTTTAAATTTTACCACCGGGCAGCCAAACCTAAAATTATTTGTGGAAAGCTGATATTAGGGATAAATATTTCTCAAAACGCAGTGATGCTAGAAATGTAAACAATTATGCATATTTTTTGTGTAAAAAAAAGGAAAGTCTGATTTACATTTTCCGAAGTATAAATTTCAAGGGCGAGGAAAATTTTAAAACTTTTTTTTTGATGATACGATATTGATAGTTACATGCCCATTGGCAGGTAGCATGGATCCCAATATGCCTTCTCTTTTTGACCCGGTAACACCGGGTCATATTCACTAGTATCATTATACTTAAGCTATTTTCCATAGTTTTATTTTACAACACTTAAACTTATTACTTAAATTCTTTAAGTATTTAATTTTGACGGATTATATTATAGGCGTCCACTTAGACCAAAATATCAAATGCTTTTAAAGTAATGCCAAAATTCCTTTTTTAACATACAATGAGCTGTAAAAATCTGCTCAAGTTGACTAATCAATATTAATAAGAATATGCTTTAAAAATAAGCACACTTGGCTTAAAAATGATTAACAAACTTTTATGATAATAAATCTGATAATAGTTGCCTGTATATTTGATTTGTTAATGTTGGTGTCAAATAAAAATTAGTCTATCTACAAAGAAGTAGTAAAAATGCATTGTACGGTACAAAATTTAAAGCCCTTCGGTGAAAATTATTTATAATTTTTTGTTTGAAGAATCATTTTGCTTGTAGAAATTGCTTGATTATTTATTGTATTTATTATTACAATCTGGGGAGAAATTAGCAAAAGATTTACCTTTAATGATTTACGCTGGAGATCAAGAGAGGGAAATTGACATGGGGATGGGGAAGAAAGAATAATAGAAAAAAAATCATATTGTGTCATATTTGAAAAAGAATTTTACTAAACGATTGTTGAATGATTTTGTAATAAAAATGAATAAAAATTAGTTATAAGCTTATTGATATTATTTTTATCATGCTAGAATTGGCTATGCCTTAGATAACATGAAATCTAAGTCATTCCAGGGGGGTGCCATAGCCGTAAAGGTGTAACAAATGGTTGCAATTAATTTTTATTTATATACTTATGGGCAAACGAACCAAATTTATTTGAAGATCTTTCTTTTCTTTTTTGCTTAAGTTATTATTTTGTCCTTGAGTGTGCATGGCTTTAGCGTCATACTAATTTTAACTTAAATGTCTTAACTTAGCTATTGATTCTTCAAAGCATCCATTTAGATTTGTTTAATTATCAATTAATGCTATGCATTGTCAAAGGAATGAAATTCTGTCCTTAGAAATTATTTAGATTTTTTAGATTTGAGCAGAATAACAAACAAATTATACTGTAAAATTCATTCTTGTCTATCAATATCTTAGACACCCAAGTGTGCACTTGTCATACTACTTGTCTATCAGTATCTTAGACACCCTAGTGTGCACTTGTCATACTTATTCTCCATCAGTATCTTAGACACCCAAGTGTGCACTTGTCACAAAAAAACTTGTATTCTGTTACAATCAATCGAAAATGGAATAAAAACGGTATTTATCTATTTTTTGTATGTAAGATAATTTTATAAACCTTGAACCTGGGTTATAGTGAGTCATTCTGACATGATTTCTCCAGTTAAAGCATGTTTAGCTCAATCCATTGCGCAGGCAGATATCACAATTTTAATTTAGTTGTGAAATATTTCCTCCATTTTAGTTTGAACTACTTTTTTGCGTCCATGATGATCAAGATGCTGCGGTGACAGTTGTCAACAGTTTACATGAGCGCTACCCTCAAGTGGATATGCAGTTATTTATTGGTAAATGTTTTACTCTTTAATTTAGGGTACATTTTAAATTTTTTTTAAAAAGTTTTTTAGGCCTATATATTAATCAAGTCTGTTATTCAAAGTTCTAAAAAAAAAAATCAATTAATTCTTTTGTCAGAGAAATGCAAATGACACCAAAGCATCTGTTTTGAACAATGTAACTGAAGTCTCTAAATCGCTTTAGAATAAACGAAACTATCACAGGCTATTTAAGTAAAATGTTGTATCAGTTTGAAATAAATAAATATTAAGACCTCAAAGACTGATAACCTGTATTTTTTTAAAATTATAACTTTGTAATAGAACTACCCTGCCCCACCTGTCTCACCCCCATAGTTGATGGAGATGTCAAATAACACTGTAGGTGTAGTCGATATGAACATTTCTAAAACCAATTTTAATACAAACTTAATCTGAAATCCTGGAATTATAGATTTAAAAAAAAATCATCTTTGCAATGAGTCTTTAAGAAAGAACTTTTAAAATTAATTTTCAATAAAAAAAAAAAATAGTACCAGCATATATTTCAGTGTCCCACATTTTTCAAAGCTTTTTTGTTTTTTTGCATTCTTTGAAGATTTTCTTTTATGAGTTTTATTTAGGCATTTATATCCTATAATGGTGATTTTGTATGTCTGGATTTTTTTTAATACATTTATTTGAAATTTTTGGATACAATGGAAATCTTTGGATGTAATACATGTAATAACTTGTCGTAGTTAAATGTATAACTCTTTGCCTGATATTCAGGAGGTGTCAATGATGTTGTGAATCCTATGGTACAAAATATGGTTCCTGCTTATGATGCAGCAAAGTATGAGTATGTGTGGATCAGTTCCAGTCGAATTGAAGGTCATTATTATTTTTAGGGTAATCTGGGGGGAGGACTGCATTCAGGTTGAAGCAGTTTTTAGTTGAAATTTTCATTGTTTAGGTATTTCAGGTTTCCCCCTACTCTGTATGTTACATTTCATATTATTATTTTTAGCCTGGTATATTTTCTAATCAACAAATCTACCATATAAATATCTGATCATTCATTGTTAATTTTCTTTTTTTTTTTTTTTATTTTAATATATATCACAATTTTGTGGTTGTATTTCATCTATCTTTTTTTTACTTTCATATCTCATCTTTTTTTTAATATCATTTGTTGTTTTATTTTTTTTTTTTTATTTTTTTTTTTTTTTTTTTTTTTCTATTCAACAATCTTACAATTTAATTTTTTGTTTTTTTTTTTTTATTTTTTTTTTTTTTTTTTTAGTTTAATATATATCACAATTTTGTGGTTGTAATTCATCTATCTTTTTTTTACTTTCATATCTCATCTTTTTTTTAATATCAGTTGTTGTTTCATTTAAGACAGTTAGACTAGTAGTAAAGGAAGCAGTAAACTGTGTAAATTGAATACAGCCCTTTAATTATTATGTAAATAATAGCAAACTTACGATTTTTCTCATTTGGTTTCAGCTTCTAATGAAATAATATTTGATTTGGCCAGCAAACTACAACAGTCCAATGTTGCATTAGTTCATCAAATACCGTTTACTACTGATAATCCTGGCTTTGGATCCACTGTTGAGAAGGTTTTGCATTACTCTTTTTAAGTTCTTTATTTCTCTTGCTAGTTCATATAATAATTTTTTTAAAAATCCTATTTTAGATTTATTAATATTGATCATATACTTATTCCACTTGTTCATTTACTAATTCATCCTACTCCTATGGATAATCTAAATCCAATTGTTCATTTACTAATTTCTCCTATGGATATACCAAATCCACTTTTTCACATATTAAATCATCCTATATATAAGCTAAATCCAATATTTAATTTACTAATTCCCCCTATGGATAAACTAAATCCCTCACTTTCATATACTAATTCCTCTCAAATTCCTTTTTTTCTTTCAAACTTCAGATATACTTTGGCTCTGCCATGACTAGGTTCTACATATCATTTAATATGTTAGGACTTTGCTGTGTGATTGGGATGTCCTACATTTTCAAAAAATCTTTATTAGATCAGGCCAATGGCCTAAAGTGGTATGGACGCTACTTGGCCGAAGATTTTTTTCTGACGCGAGCACTTCATGAGAGGTAAAATATTAAACAGTTTTTATTCTTTTACTGATTAGTTTATTATAAGATTATTAACAGAGGTTGGTTCAAACCATGTTTTTTAAAATTTAGTATCATCTTTAACAATTAATTGTGTTAACCTGAAAGTTGAATCAAAAATGTCTACAATAACTATATATATATATATTGAAAACGTGGTATAACAAAATGCTATTATTATTACTCTTAAAAATTTTTTAGGGGTCAATTGATTATGTCAGCGATCCCAGCAAAACAAAATGTAGGACAGATAACATTAAGAGGGTTTGTTGAACGGATGGTGAGGTAGGTACAGCTTGTAAACAAGCCATGCTAGAAGCCTCTTAGAATAATTAGCATTGTGTTGGAGATATATCTTTTTAGTTACAAATAATTAGGAACATTTTTTTTATTCTATCTAGAAAATGATTCTACTTGGATTGTTCTTGTGTTGCAGGTGGATGAGGCTGCGACTCAACATGATGACTTTAGTGACAGGATTTCTTGAGCCGTTATCAGACTGTTTCCCACTCGGCATTTGGGCTGGCTGGGCACTTAATTACTTTTTTGCAATAAATCCATTTTATTTCTTCACATTCCATGTCATTTCATGGCTTATAATGGATTTCATTCAGCTTACTTCCATGCAGGTGAGTACGCTTCCATATGGATAAAACAGGAAAATACCAAAAATAAAATGATTTATTTTGGGGGGAAACAACATTTCTTTAAAATCAAAGAAATTTTTTTCACAAAGCACACTGTTCTACTCGTTGAGAAACTTGTGAAACATAAATGCATCTGTGGCAACCCCAGTATGACGCAATTTGTAGCAACCGCAGGGAATGAGTTATTTCATTTATTTCTTGTTTTTAAATAAAAAAACAAATTTTTTGTACTTTTAAATATACATTTATTTTTAATCAGGTGCCCGAGAATGGCCTGGGTAGTTAACTTCAGGTGGGGACCCATTGACAACCTTGTTGGCCATATGAACTATTTTACTTTTCTTTCATTAATTTCTTAATTCTGATATGCGGATTCTATTGGACTGTTAATAGAAAATAAAATATAAAGTATTTTGTAATTTTTTTTTTTTAGTTTTGAAATATGAAACATTTGAACATCATTTATTTTGGAAGCTGTAAATTGTGGGTGGGATAAGCTTTATAGATTAAAATAGAAAGCCTTACTTAGCGCTGTATCCATTTTCAGAAACCAAGACAAATTTTAATTTTGAATCAGATTTCAAAAGCATCAAAATAACAACTCTCTTATCAAATGAGACAATATGTATACATCTCTACAAATGACATAAAATTCTGCTCTGTATCTATAATTTGAATAACAAAGGAAGCAGAATACCTATATATTATATATATTAGTTTACTGAGAGAATAACAAGTATGATTTGAATCTAGATATTTTAAGATAGAAATTACATCATCAACATAGAGTTGGAGTAATTAATGTAGTCATTATAAAGTTCATATTGAATTCTGTCAAAATCCAGTTTGCAGAGAAATTATTTTTTATGCTTACCATAGTTACTTTAATTTTGACCACGACTACTTCAAACTACTGATCTTTTGTGTGCAGTCTATTTAATCCTGTCTTATTCTGCTTGTCTCCAGAATGGCCCGCTGTTATTTTCTAAAGTTGACTATATTATTGCCTGGATTGTCAGAGAGCTAAGTGCTACATGTATTTTTTTACTAGCAGCAGTGAATCCACATCGCATCCAGTGGGGACGCAGGACTTATCACGTTAAACTGGGAGGTTTAACAGAATTAGTGCATGTTGAAAAAGCTCAAATGTCATGACTTAGCAGTTCATTAGAATTAAAGAAAGAGTTGAAGTCAATTTAGGGCAAATGATCATTGTTAAACGCCATAAGGTGACCTCCGAAGTTAAACTTGATATTATATTTGTACATGATTTAATGGTCTGTTTTTTTGTGAAATTAGTCTAGAGAAATGAGACTGTAAAAGCAATTCTTCTTCTAATGTATATAAATGTGTTTTTTAAAAAACTAGATTCTGAAGACCAACTTCATTTTTTATATCAGTTATCTTCATTTTATTACTGTACCTGTAACATTTTAAAGACTCTAAGCCATACAACTTAATATGAGAAGGAGAAAAACTAGAGTTAAATTTAGATTTACGTCATCTAATTTTTAGTTTTGTAAAGCTTGACAGTCTCAGTTTTGTACAGATGAAGGGATGTCAGTTTTAAAAAGATTGATAGTTGTTTGTTAAGATTTATGGTTTTCAGTCCTGTAGACAGGGCCAGCACTAGACATTTTTAGGCTAGGTGAAAATAGGCAATTGTTGCCCTCAGGAAAGTTATGGGAAGAGTTCAGAAATTTTTTTGTTTTTGATATTAATAAATTTTTATTCAAATTCAATACAAAAAAAAGCCGAATTGGCATAATTTATGCAACAAATTGGCTATTTTGAAAAAGCTACTTTTCAAACTATATAGAATTTATGATTGCATATGTGGTAAAAATGGATTTTAAAACAGAAAGAAAAAACATTGTGGAAAATTTCTAATTTATTTTTTCTGCCTTTTGCGGTTTGGGCGCCTTGGCACCTGTGTGATGATCATGCATCATACCCGCCTTGAGCCGACCCTGCCTTTAGATTAGGTTCGTCCATTGCCGATATTCAGGAAGTGAATGCCTTGTATTTGAAATATCTATCCCTTTATTTTCTGTACGTCTAGAGTGCCTGTAATTATTTCACAACTTTCTTTACCGTCAAAGTTTGAGTAAAATAAATACATTTAACTTTGTTACAATATTTAAACTGAACATAAATGGAGAATAATTAAGCTCCAAATAATAGCATTTATTATTAAAAATAATTGTTTCATTTGTTAGAGATTTATGTGGGTGAGTTTGATTTTTATGTCTTTTTGTCTAAATATTAAAAGGACAACATATTTTTATATTTATTTAATATATTTTTTTACATTTTTTTACAAATTGTATGAGGGATTTAAAAAAAAAATCTGCATGGTATTTATGAGTATAAAACTTAATTGTTCAATGTTAAAATACGAGTGTGAAGTATTTAACTCCTACATTTTCATTTACTCTTCCTGTTGTATAATTTATTCCATTTGTTGCCTGTTTTAACATCATCTAATATCATCACAATTGTCTGTTCTTGTCAAAGAGTTTTCTCTTCTCAGAACTCTTAATACTAAATGTTAAATTATTCTATTTTAAAGTAAAAAGCATTTTATAACAATTTTTTGATTGTTCCGAAGCTGCTGTTCTTTGAAACTGGAAGCTCAACTTGTACAGTAATTTTATGTGTTTTCTGTTGTGTCATTATGGGTGTAAATTTTGTGGTATAGCAACATCTGAATTGATTGTAATACTAATGATATACTAGCTAAGAAGATTTTAAGAGTGAGCAGCTCATTCCCTTGCCAGTCAAGCCCGCCAATGCAACTTGCAGGCAGTCAGTCTCCTGGTGGAGTCTTCACTTTCTCTGTGGAAGTTGGTGAAGATCAGACCTGTGACCCTACAACAAAAGAGCTGTCTTTTATGACAATTTATTATTGGACTATTATTTTTTTTTAGGGGTTAATCTTTAAATTTGTGTGTGTGTTAAATGGGATCTTCCCCATTGCTGCTCATTGCTTCACCTAAAAAATATTTTTCATTTTTTTATATCACTCAGAAATAAAAGAGTGATGGCTTAATTGTTCCACCAAGATATTTAGTCCCAAATTCTAACTGTTCGAGGTCAGTATTAGATGTTTTAATACTTTCCTTGTGATTTAAAAAATAAATCTGGTTTACTGCTGGAATGACATGTTTTGCTCAGTATTTAGATAATAGTCATATCAAAGCATAATAAAAAAAAAACTCAATGTTTTTAATTGAAAGTTGCTAGTCAGAAAAAATTATCAACAAGACAGCATTTTGCTACAGAAATCTACAGTACAGCATTGAAACGTTTGTTGAATCTGGGCAGCGATTTATTTCTATGTAATTAAAGTAAAACTCATATTTATGATAACACATTTGGCTTGGAATGGGAAACACAAATGAGTGCTAGTAATCTAACCAATGATGTACTTAACTTAAACACCCTGAGGAAATAAATCTCAATTGTTACACTCATTCTTGTTTGCTAGTTTCAAACTTTTGAATACCAAATTAATATGCAAATTTACAAGGTCAATTTTAAGATTTCATTGTGAAAAGTTTATCTTATTTATTTTATTTTATTTTTTGACTCAGTTTTTCCTAAATTAGCCAGGGTGAATGTTAGAGGTAATCCAACACTGAATAGACAGTTTTAAGTTGTTCAAATAATTTATATTTCCTTATGCTCAGTATTCTGAGTTGATTACTTTTGTTATACAAATGATTTGTTGTCATATAGCATGATTTAGTTTACTTCCAAATTATATTATCAAAATTATTGTTTTCTGTCATCTCTTATATCGTTATTAAAATTCCTGCTTGGAAATTTTGTTTTATATATATATATATATATATATATATATATATATATATATATAATATATATATATATGTATGTGTGTGTGTGTGTTACAAATATTTATATATATATATATATATATATATATATATATAATATATATATATATGTATGTGTGTGTGTGTGTTACAAATATACACATACTTCCAATCAGTGCATAATAAAATATTTTTATGAACTTTTATTTTTTATGCCATCAAAATGTAAATCTTTGTAAATGAGTGAGTCTCACAATAATCTAAAATTCCTCTTTTAAGTGTAAATGTAGTGCACGAATTCTCTGCTTTGAACCTTGTATATTTTCACTGAATAAATCAAATGGCACAGCTTTACAAAATGATCCGTCTCATGTAAAGGGGGCTGTTTGGGGCCAAGAATAGCTTTAATGACTTTTGTTATAGCGTAGTAATATTTTAGAGAGTTTTAGCTAGTAAATTTTTTTACACTGGAGAATTATATTTCCTCTAAGTTTTTACAATGTTGACAAAAAATGACTATAATTTAATGTGAACTTACATCATTCCTGGCTGTAATGCTTATATGAAAATACAAGTGCTCTACTAACATCTGTGCTAACATAAGTGCTCATGTCTGAAATATTTCATACTGATATGTTGAATTTCAAATATGTCAGTTATATTGTCTTACTTTTGTCAAGAGAATGTGATATTACTCATTGTATTTGTTGTACAGCCTTATAACTATCTGCTCTGTTAAAAACCAGCATTTCATTCTCCCTGTGCCGTTCTACAAGTCTGGATAATAACTTAGTGAGTCTGTAGTCAGCTCAACCTCAATGTTTTTTTTAAAGTTTCTAAACACTGCTTGTCTAAAACAGATTATTGTTTAGTTAAATATGGGAGGGGGGCATTTTGAAAATGTTTTCTGCTTAGCGTTATGCCTGGCATACAGCCGTAAATGACTAAACGTTATATTAATTCAGTTATAATTAAATAACCCTTTGCTACGAGATGTTCTCACTTTTCTTTTGGTGACCCTGTATTTGGTTTCACCAAGTTTTTTTTGAGAGACAGCAAATGTGAACACAGGTGTTTATTACCTTCTGTTATGACCAAATATTTCATTTGTAATGCTTTATGGATCTGAAATTTTTGCAACATTTCCTATAGGTTTCTCTCAAACAT